GTGTTTGTGTTTGTGTCCGTCTGTCTGTCCGTCTGTCTGTCTGTCTGTCTGTCTGTCTGTCTGCCTGCATCACCGCCTGTCTGTCTGTCTGTCTGTCTGTCTGTCTGTCTGTCTGTCTGTCTGTCTGTCTGTCTGTCTGTCCGTGTGACTCTTTCAGGGAGGTCTCAGTGGAGAAGTTGAGTTTGGACAGCGACTCGCCGATACGAGGCGATTACAAGAGAGACGCGGACACACACACCCCGGTGAGACGGGCAGAGAGAGAGGAGGCTCGGGGTCGTAAAGCTCCGACCTTTGACCCTCTAGTAACCACTGTAAAATATTTAAGACATCTGAGTCCACAACGTGCAGCTCTTTAAAGTCTGGCTCACTCTGCAGGATCATCGGGCCGATTTGAGCTCCGATTCTTCCCGACATTCTCAGGGTCTCTCCCGACTCGAGGATGCTCAGACCCGATTCTCTGCTCAGATTATCTCGTAGTGTGAGCGGTCCAAAGATCCAATCTTAACGTTTATTTCAAACATGTTTGATATTTAGAATTTAAAATCTTGACGTTTACATCATGAAAGTGTTCGGCAGAAGTCGTGTGACTACAATATAATCACGAGAGACAAGGGAGGACTGTAGTCATGGCGACCAGCGGCAGGACACAACCCGTTTTTTTTTGTTTGTTTTCAGTACAGATCATCAGTGCAGCACTTTTCTAAAACTTGTCTCCATATATCTACGATTGTTTTAAATTACCTCTATCCTACAACAACTTCCACTTCCTTCTCTTTCACCAACCGCCGTCCTTTTGATTTTTTAAATGAAACTTTATTAACAATTGTCAACGCTCCGTCCCGATTTCACTCGTACAGTGTGAGCACATAAATCTCAAGGTCTGGTCGGGCGTCGTAAAAAGATTCACTCGTACAGTGTGAGCTGACATGCCGGCCGTGCCCGATTTTTATACAATCGGGGGAAAATCTCACAGTGTGAGCCAGACTTTAGTACCGTCTCTTTTCACCATGTAGAGTTTGTGATCCTGCGAGCTACGTGTATGATACCGTCGATCAGACCCACAGCGACTAATTCTAAGTCTAATTAATCAAAGCAGCACTCCACAAGCTTTATTTAAGGAACCATATAGCAGACTGCTTTCTTTACATGATTATGATTGAATGAGGGAGAAAAGCAGCCAGCTTGGTGTGCATCACTTTCCTCTCTCCTAAGAAAGAGTTTCAAAAAGAGGAATGTGAACTCTGTGACGTCTGAACTGTTGTCATGAAATCATCATCCGTCTCCCCCCTCTGTCTCTGCATGTCCCTGTCTCTGTGTCTTCTCCTCTGTGTCTTCTCCTCTGTGTCTCTTTCCTCGCTCGTCCCCTCATCAGGACCGACCTCCTGTCATTGAGCCCTTCTCCCCCCCAGACCTCACCCCTGAGGGCCCCGCCCGAACCCCGCCTGTCAGCAGGTACACACACACACACACACACACACACACACACACACACACACACACACACACACACACTCTTACATCCTTATGTGTTCATGTTTTACCTGCTGTATATTTTTCTTGAAATACTTCAAAGACCTCTTTCAGGAAAGACATTTTGACTTTTCATTGCTCGGGTGTAAATGGGAATATTCATGATGGATGAATTCCATTTTTGCTCTTTAGGTGTCTTAGTCTTGACGTCAAAATGTCGGCTGTGAGAGACGCCTTTGAATCAGCATGACAGCAGCTGTGTCTGAAATCATTCACTACATCCTGCTCTCTACATAGCGACTTCTCATTAGCATAAAAATAACATTTTGGACACTTAATTTTTTAATTCATAACAAATTGCCCTAGATGATGAGTAGTGTGTGATTTCAGACACTGCATATTTTACATTTTAAATGTCACATATTATCCTCCCATTATTCTCATCCTTCTCTTGTGAATCATCACAAAAATGGATGAAGGGAATCTTTTTCTCGAGCACAATTTTAAGTCGATGTGACCTCATGTCTAACTCACAAAATTGCATTTTCATTCTTGTGAAAACGCTGATTTTTGTAGAACTCTTGAGTTATTCTATTGATTTTGATGTGCTTTTTAAATGCTGCCGCTGTGTGTTTGTTTTCTCCAGTAAGCAGAGGAAAGGTCCTCTGTCTCTTCAGGACTTCAGGCTGATCGCCGTGTTGGGCAGAGGACACTTTGGGAAGGTAAACTATGACCGTCTTTTAAATTCACTGTTTCAGTAAGCCCCCAAACGTGCACATGGAGAAGCACTCTGTTCAGCTTTCTGTGCGTCATTATGAGGGAAACAAACTGAACTGTTGCTGCATGTTTCTGTCTCCAGGTGTTGCTGTCAGAATACAAGAAAACGGGCACGATGTACGCCATCAAAGCGCTGAAGAAAGGAGACATCGTGGCTCGTGATGAGGTGGAGAGGTGTGTGTCTCTGTCTTTCTCCTCAATCCACCTACACTGTCCTCCTCCTCCTCCTCCTCCTCCTCCTCCTCCTCCTCCTCCTCTTCACGTCTTTCTCTCCTTCCTCACGCAGTTTAATGTGCGAGAAGCGCATCTTTGAGGTGGTGAACCTGTCGCACCATCCCTTCCTGGTCAACCTGTTTGCGTGCTTCCAGACGTCGGAGCACGTGTGTTTTGTGATGGAGTACACGGCGGGAGGCGACCTGATGATGCACATCCACACGGACGTCTTTACAGAGCCACGAGCCGTGTAAGTACAGAGTGAATATTACATCCTGAAAAAGCTTCTTAATGGACAAAATTAAGCTCCCATGCAATCCCTCCAGCCAATTTTCCAACAATTCAGCGTTTCAAACCAGCGAATATGACGGATGTGGGCGTAGGGACAAATACGAGAAAATATAATCACAGAGAGGCAACACACCAAGAAGATAAAGCTCGTTCTAAAACGAGGGTGAACCTTGTGTTAGCTTTCACCTGCGGGCGCTGAGTTTGTCTGCTTCCTGTTGGATAGGCAGGTGACAAACACAGGTGGTTAGCTTGTGCTAGCGTGCTTTAGCTTGCAGTGTAGGTAAAGGCAGTAAACGTACACACTACATCCTGCAGGGGGTGGGGCTTCTGAAGGTGATGAGCCCAGGAGGAGTGGTCCAGTTTGAATATTGTGTTTACAAACTGTAAAAAAAAAAGAAAAAAAAAGATGCTGCTGACTCTTCCTTTAAAGTCCTGACTGTAGGAGAGATGAGTGTCATCATTTAGAGAGCTTTTGGAGCATATTTCTAGTTGTTCAGTTACAAACTGTTTCCTGTTTTAAATCCTCATTCTGAGAAGTGACCGCTCCACTGTCTGACCTTTATGGGGGATTAAGGAGAGACTCAAAGAAATCCACAGTCCTCTTTCACCATAATGAATACGAGGCCTCAGAAGTCTCTGTTCAAATCTGGCATTTTCAAAGAGCACGAATAAGAACTTTGGAGAAATCATCCACTCAATTAGTCTCACTTCTCAAGACTCACATTAGCTTCAGCTGACCTTCAGGATACTTTTAAAAACTGAACGAGGACTGTGCATTTCTGTGAGTCTTCTCTCTCTCTCTCACTGATCATGAGGGAAAAGATCTTTATGTGGACTCACAAGTACAAAGTCCAGAGAAGAAGTCCAACCTGCTGAAGTGATAGAAAACATCTCTGTTGGTTCACAGTGGGACTGAAGGGTTTCCAAAATATCAAAAACAGTTCATGTTTTCAAAAAATAAACTGAACCTGGATTATCTGTGAGTGTCAGACCCTGAGCGTAGAAGTCAGGGTCCCTTAAAAAGTCTTAAATCATCTTAAAGGTCACATATTATAAACCCTAATATGTGTCCCTCGTCTGTCTACAAATGAAACTTTTAAACTTGTGATGATGGGAATCAAAGCGGTTGAGCTAAAATACAGCGGGACAGCTCATCATGTAGCAGTGCCGTGCAAAAACAGCACACTTGGTGACACTTGCTCAAATTCCTTAAAGTTCATATTCCATCAAAATCACAATGTGTGGTCTTCTTCAGAGGATATTTAAGCGGGTGTGTGGGGATATCTTCTTCCTCAAAATGACTTCAACTCTTCCTTCGTTTGGGTCTTTAAAGGACTTGTCTCTTTATTTTCAGCCTCAGTAATTGTGTTCTTTTGATTTGATTTCAGGTTTTATTCCGCCTGCGTAGTTCTTGGACTTCAGTTCCTCCACGACAACAAGATTGTGTACAGGTGAGTCAAACACACACAGCCTGCATCCTGACGCGATAACTCAGGTGTAAGAAAGAAGAAGCATCGTTATTAGTCTGTGATGAAGACGAGTTTCTCCTCCTCTCGTCAGTCTGGTTTATATCTCTGTTAAAAATAAATCTTCAAAAAAAAACCCGATTCATCTCAGCTGTGTAAAGACGAGCTGATTCTCACCTTCATGTTTTCACCTTCCCTCTCCCACAGAGACCTCAAGCTCGACAACCTGCTGCTCGACACGGACGGCTACGTGAAGATCGCCGACTTTGGGCTTTGTAAAGAAGGTGCAGCTGACACATTTATTCTTCATTGCACATCCCATAATGCCGTCTGTGGTGCGGGGGAACGAGGGCCTGTTTCAGAAAAAGAATGGCGCAGCTTTTACACCCGCTAAACCTGAGACACCGCCTCTATCAAAAAGCTCTCGCAAAGGGTTAAACGAGCTACAGAGCAAACAGTGTCTCTGTGCATGTGAGCCTCATTGCAGAAACTGTCTTAATTCACAAACAGCCTCGTGCAGTTAGCTTGAAAATGTTAGCGTCTGCTGCGAGTTGGCGGGATGTCCCCGATAAATAAACGGTATTTATCGGGGACATCACGCACCAACTTTCCAGAAATCAGGATGACATTTCTGCCTTTGTGTGACTTTAAAATAAATGATCTGCATATCAAGTCTATAAACATTACCTTGATATACCGTAAAATCTAACTTGAAATAGCTTTGTTTTCATTGGAAAAAAGAGCGCTTTGTCTTATACACCAGTGCTACCAGTATAAAATGCTGAGACACACAGAATTTTATTCACGTTTGTTCTGCCTCTGTGTGCAGGAATGGGCTTCGGGGACCGGACCAGCACCTTCTGTGGGACGCCGGAGTTTTTGGCCCCGGAGGTGCTGACAGACACGTCGTACACCCGGGCAGTGGACTGGTGGGGACTCGGGGTCCTCATCTATGAGATGTTGGTGGGAGAGGTAAGAACCCATTGGCTCTGTCATGTGATTATCATCCCAGTGTCTGTGTACGCCTCTGATGACATCACACAGGAAACAAAAAACATGTTTTAAATTTGTGTTTGTGTGTGTGTGTTTGTGTGCTTGTGTGTGTGTGTGTGTAGTCTCCATTCCCAGGGGACGATGAAGAGGAGGTGTTTGACAGCATAGTGAATGATGAAGTGCGTTATCCACGCTTTCTCTCTACTGAGGCTATCGGTATCATGAGAAGGGTAAGAACATTCACACACACACACACACACACACACTTGCTGACTTCTCGTCTGTGAACAATACTTGATGACAAAGTCTGCACGTATGTACAAAACACTTCATCATCAGAATGTCGGAGAGGTCACACATTGATGCAATTTCACCGTGTGTGTGTGTGTCTGTGTGTGTGTGTGTGTGTGTGTGTGTGTGTGTGTGTGTGTGTGTGTGTGTGTGTATCATGAGCAGCTGTTGAGGAGAAACCCTGAGAGAAGACTGGGCTCTGGTGAAAAGGATGCAGAGGAGGTGAAGAAGCAGCCGTTCTTCAGAGTGAGTACACTTGTGTGTGTTTTGTTATTTTATGTGGGCGATGAGGCGTCCTCGTCTTTTGTCTCTGAGGAGCAAAAGGTGTGTGTGTGTGTGTGTGTGTGTGGTGTGTGTGTGTGTGTGTGTGTGTGTGTGTGTGTGTGTGTGTGTGTGTGTGTGTGTGTGTGTGTGTGTGTGTGTGTGTGTGTGTGTGTGTGTGTGTGTGTGTGTGTGTGTGTGTGTGTGTGTGTGTGTGACAAAAAAGCAGTCTGAAAAAAAAAAAGACTATTGAGGGAAATATTTGCAGCACATCAGCAGTGATATTGTTAATATTGTGATCAGGGTTTCCAAGACAACAGACTTACTTGTCAGCAGGAAAAATTGTGAGGCAGCAAACACAGCAAGTCATCAAATGAGTGGGCATGTGTGTAAAGCATGCACAATGTGAACTGAAGAGTGGAGAAGAACATCCTGGAGAACAGGAAACATAATGCAGCAGGTTCACGGAGGTCGTAGAGGTGGCGTGCAGACAGTCTACGGTCGGTGCAGCGATCACAGGGAATAAAACGTCACCACCCCCTCCCCCACTCGCTCCAGGTGAATTCTCCTGATTGATTTTTTTTCCTTTTCCCTCCAGAATGTGGACTGGGAGGCGTTGCTGCAGAGGAAGCTGCCCCCTCCCTTCGTCCCCTCCATCGTCGGCAAAGAGGACGTCAGCAACTTCGACGAGGAGTTCACCACCGAGGCGCCGACGCTCACGCCTCCGCGGGAGCCTCGCGTGCTCTCGCGCAAAGACCAGGATAGTTTCCGGGACTTCGACTACGTCTCCGACCTCTGCTAGTGGACCTCCAGGGGCAGGGGGGTGGGGGCTCACAGACCTCGAGGAATGTTTTATTTTGAAGGATTCATGGCCGAGCGTCTCCACTGACTCTCCCTTAGTTACACTGTGAATGAATGAGTCTTTATCATGTGTGTCTGCAGACTTTTAAAGATGGAGGACTGACGATATGAAACCCCGCTCAGGTAGCTGACGGGCGGACATGTTCCATCACAAAGGACAAACCTCTCTCTCTCTCTCCAATCATTGTACAACACAGCAGTGAGTTGTGTTCCTCTGCCTTTAAACGCCTCCTCCCTCCTCTCATGTATCATCGTGGTCGTCGTCTGCAGCTGTGAGAGGCGGAGCTCGCCGTCTTCTCGTAGTGTTTTCCTGAGGCTTCCTGTCGGCCTCTAATAACAATGCCTTACATTTGTACTTGTGCGTGATCCACATAAAAGCATTTTTTGTTTTTATTGTGTGAGCCTCTGTCTGCAGGAGCGGACCGACCGTGCTGCAGGATAAGAACTGTAAAAAAAAAAAAAAAAGAGTTGAAAGAGCGACGTGACTTTGTAGACCTACGGTGAAGACGATGAGTCATGCACGGTGAACTCTAGGGACAAGAACCACTGTCTTACTTTTTAACTACTATTAAAAACTTTAGCTGCTTGGGTTTTAATTTCTGAAACAAAAAACGTTTAGCAGAACAGAGACCCCCAATTTCCACTTTCCCCGTGCGTGTGGAGCGACACTACGCTCCGTTTCAAATCCGCTGCAAGAACGAGTCAAGCTGGACAGAATAGAACGAGCCAAACAGGAAGTAAGACAAAGATAAGCACAGAGTGTCTGCTTAATTTCAAAATAAAATGAAGTATACAAACTCACGATCAAATTTTCCATCATCGCGTCAAAACAGCCGTCGAAGGAATGACAAATCATCCTCAGAAAGACGGAGCAACGTGTTTTTGTTTGTTTATTCCTGTGTGATCTTGTAGTTCTCTCTGTGATCTTGTAGTTCTCTCTGTGATGTGGGTACAGCGGCTCATTGCTGCACTCACACCAGAAACAGATCCAGTGTGGCAGAGCGCTCGCCGTCCGACTGAGGAAAACCGTGGCGCTGACGGACCGCAGCGTGCACGGAGTAAGTGGAAATTGGGGGTTATATTTGACAGCTGATTCTATGACATACTGTTCAGTACACAAACCTATCTTTTTCTAATTGGACATTTGAGTACAGAACATGTGGAATCTGGAACTGGTGTAGCAGACTGAATCACAACCACCAGCATAGAAAAGCTTTTCTTTTTTTTTTGCAGCCAGGGCGTTTAATTTTAATTTGTGAAAACATGAACACTAAGACATGACGTCCAAGTCGCACACTGTCCTCCTTGAGACACGTTGGTTAACTTATCGACATGCAAACCGTGTTGTTTGTACATGAAATCAGTTACTTCACCACCAGAAACAGTTTTTTTTTTTTAATCCTGCGCTGGAGTCACTGCAGGGTGTGTTTCAGTCACATCTTTTTCTGCAGCCATGAATTTTTTGACTTTATAGCGATTTGGGGAAATGTGTGTGTGTGACCTATGCAGGGGCGTGTCCAGACTTTTTCTTAATTGGGGTTGCCCACCTGGGGGCCACCATCATGCAGGGGCAGCATGAAGTTTATGGGCACACATGCAAATTAATTAAATTGTTTTTCCCCCTTCTTTACCAACAAATTATACATGCTGTTAGTAACAGAATTTACATATAAATCTACTTACCTTGATTCAAAACAAATTCACAATTTAAAGTACAAAAAAAAACTTTATTAGTAAGCGAGTCCATCGCTTGTTAGACAGTGTGCATGCAAAGTATTCATTACAACTAAAAACCACGACCATTAGCTTAGTTGATTTGTACTTAAGTCCCCGCCTCTGATTATACAAAATGCCAATCATGGATTTAGATTTTGGGGTGTCCCATCAGATTTCAAAGGGGGGGCCCATGCCGCCCCTCTGGCCACGCCCCTGCACCTAGGGTTTCACGATACCAGAATTTTAAGCTTTTATACGATACCAGTAAAATCAAACGATATCAAACCCCACGGCAACAAGAGAAGTCCTAGGCGATCAATACCGGGTCATCTCTTGTTTTGAGTGGCCAAAATATGAAGGCAAACTCCTTCACGCTGTTTAAAAGGCTCAAATACCTGTAGTGATAGTTTGTTACTGAAACATCTACAACATATTTGTGCACTTAAGACAGTGCTCACTCTCTCTCTCTCCCTCCCTCTCTTTCTCTCTGTCTCTCTCTCTCTCTCTCTCATTCTCGCTTGCGGCAGCTTTTGGTTAAAATATGACTGAAGATCTGTCAATTTTTTTTTTTTTTAAAGCCTCTGTGCTCTTGGATACTTTTGATCGCGTATCGAAGAGTACTGAAGTATCGAACCTTGGCACCACAAGCACAACGAACCTCAGCCGTCGCTTTCTGGAGAAAAGAAGCATTTTCAAGCTTCATGCGGTGAGCTCTGTCCCAGCTCACTACTTCTCTTGGCAATACAGTTTTCTGACAAACAATATGGTTTGAGGGGAAACAGAGTTGAATATGAGCGAGTACTTCCATCACTCTTAATCATTTCTGAGTACAGGAGCAGTTTGTTGTGAAGCTGTACGTAAGATGGTGTGGCTTGTACTCATCCTGTGAATGACAAAATGAAACCATGTGAGAGTATGAGATGACTTATTTTATAAAGAAAAGCTGGAGTGAATATTCCTGTCTGTGACCTGGTTATTACAGGTGTGGGTGTGTCGCTTTCAAACTGAGGAAGGGGTTGAGTACAGAGTAACACATGAAAGTGGTTTGCAATTATTGGTAAATATTGAATCATCTTTGAGTGGGATGATGGGATGACTTTCTCCTTAAAAAGTACATTTAAGGTCAAATATAAACTTCACCATGTTTAACTCTAATATGTGTCTCTAGTCTGTCTACAAACCCCCCAAACATGAGAAAAGTCCATCCTCCGTCTTCTGCCTGCTCCACTTTTCAGAAAATCTGTGCTCAAACAGGCCGTTTGGAGATTTCCCTTCATGACATCACAAAGGGCAGTAGCCCCTCCCCCAGGTGGGTGACACTCCCACAGCTAGGTGTTTGTTCTGGGGTTTATAGACATGATCAAATACAGGCTCAGAGTGGATTTAGAACAAGAAACTTCACACACATGCTTTGGGGAGCTCTGAGAACCTCCACAGTCAGGACCAGACTGCAGACCTCCACTGTGAGGACGCTGTCAGGACCAGAAATACACGCTAAAAAGTTTCAAAATAAAATTGTGTTGCACTTCCGGTTTAGCGTTTAATTCATTTATAACCCCTTGTTGGGGAATGCACGCAGTACACTTCAATATAAAATTGAAGTCACTAGTAGTCAAATCCGGTTTAAGTGTTTTACTCATGAATAGTAGTGAAACACAACAGTCAAAATCCAGATATATTAATGTGATTATTGATGCTGGGAACAAATTAATGGTGTAAACTGGTTTCACTCATAATGCCTTCACTCGCACGAGAGCATATGAGAATTATATACAGTATATAAATGTCACTCCCCCCTCCTATTGGCTCGAGGTGAATTCTCCGGAGAATATCCTGCTGTGTTCTCACATCAGCTCACTCGAACTTGCTGCAGAAAAAACACACCAGGGGTCTAACGGAAGAAACATTATCCTGTGTGCTGACTTCCTTCAATGAATAGTGGACTAGATTAACAACCTTTAGTGGAGTTAACACGTTGCTTGCTCACGGTGCACAGCAGTGGTTGTCAACTCGTCTGGCCTCAGGACCCACATCCAATTCATCTGTGAAATAAACGCGACTGATACTGATACTTTTCGACCAATTTTTTATTTTTACTTTTACTTTTTTTTTGTACTTTTCTACTCTTTTTTTCTTATAATGCTATTCTATTTTATATATAATTTTAACTTTTTTTTGTAGAAGCTGACTCAGGGAAAAACACACAAGAATTCCAATGTACCTGTACTGTCCTGTACATGTGCAAATGGCAATAAACATCTATTCTATCCTATTCAATAACATGTATTTACAGATAAAAATTTCAGTTTGGATCTCTCTCATGTCTCTGAAGAAAGAAAGTAAACGTTTAAAATGACGACCCACTATTGGGGTCCCGACCCACATATTGAGAAACCAACAGTGAAAAGCAACATTAACGACACATGTATAGAGACACCCATAAGTGATGATTGAGCAGCAATACTCAGGCACATAAATAACTCTCCTGTAAAAAATGTGAATATGACTGTTTCTGACTGTAAAGGTATGACTGTGTGAATTAGGAGCTGTGTGTGTGTGTGTGCGTGCGTGCGTGTATTAGTGTGTGTGTGTGTGTGTATATGTGTGTGTGTGTATTAGTATGTGTGTGTGTATATGTGTGTGTATGTATTAGTGTGTATTAGTATATGTGTGTGTGTATTAGTATATGTGTGTGTGTATTAGTGTGTATTAGTATATGTGTGTGTGTATTAGTATATGTGTGTGTGTATTAGTGTGTATTCGTATATATGTGTGTGTGTATTAGTATATATGTGTGTATATGTGTGTGTATTAGTGTGTATTAGTATATGTGTGTGTGTGTATTAGTATATATGTGTGTATATGTGTGTGTATTAGTGTGTATATGTGTGTGTATTAGTGTGTATTAGTATATGTGTGTGTGTATTAGTGTGTATTCGTATATATGTGTGTGTGTATTAGTATATATGTGTGTGTGTATTAGTGTGTATTCGTATATATGTGTGTGTATTAGTGTGTATATGTGTGTGTGTGTGTATTAGTGTGTATTAGTATATGTGTGTGTGTATTAGTGTGTATATGTGTGTGTGTGTATTAGTGTGTATTAGTATATGTGTGTGTGTGTATTAGTGTGTATTAGTATATATGTGTGTGTATATGTGTGTGTGTATTAGTGTGTATTAGTATATGTGTGTGTGTATTAGTGTGTATTAGAATATGTGTGTGTGTATTAGTGTGTATTAGTATATGTGTGTGTGTATTAGTGTGTATTAGTATATGTGTGTGTGAATTAGTGTGTATTAGTATATGTGTGTATATGTGTGTGTGTATTAGTGTGTATTAGTGTGTATATGTGTGTGTGTATTAGTGTGTATTAGTGTGTATATGTGTGTGTGTATTAGTGTGTATTAGTATATGTGTGTGTGAATTAGTGTGTATTAGTATATGTGTGTATATGTGTGTGTGTATTAGTGTGTATTAGTGTGTATATGTGTGTGTGTATTAGTGTGTATTAGTGTGTATATGTGTGTGTGTATTAGTGTGTATTAGTATATGTGTATTAGTGTGTATTAGAATATGTGTGTGTGTATTAGTGTGTATTAGTATATATGTGTGTGTATTAGTGTGTATTAGTATATGTGTGTGTGTATTAGTGTGTATTAGTGTGTATATGTGTGTGTGTATTAGTGTGTATTAGTATGTGTATTAGTGTGTATTAGAATATGTGTGTGTGTATTAGTGTGTATTAGTATATGTGTGTGTGTATTAGTGTGTATTAGTATATGTGTGCGTGTATTAGTGTGTATTAGTATATGTGTGTGTGTATTAGTATATGTGTGTGTGTATTAGTATATGTGTGTGTGTATTAGTGTGTATTAGTATATGTGTGTGTGTATTAGTGTGAATTAGAATATGTGTGTGTGTATTAGTGTGTATTAGTATACGTGTGTGTGTATTAGTGTGTATTAGTATATGTGTGTGTGTATTAGTATATGTGTGTGTGTATTAGTGTGTATTAGTATATGTGTATTAGTGTGTATTAGAATATGTGTGTGTGTATTAGTGTGTATTAGTATATATGTGTGTGTATTAGTGTGTATTAGTATATGTGTGTGTGTATTAGTGTGTATATGTGTGTGTATTAGTGTGTATTAGTATATGTGTATTAGTGTGTATTAGAATATGTGTGTGTGTATTAGTGTGTATTAGTATATGTGTGCGTGTATTAGTGTGTATTAGTATATGTGTGTGTGTATTAGTGTGTATTAGTATACGTGTGTGTGTGTATTAGTGTGTATTAGTATATGTGTGTGTGTGTATTAGAATATGTGTGTGTGTATTAGTGTGTATTAGTATATGTGTGTGTGTATTAGTATATGTGTGTGTGTATTAGTGTGTATTAGTATATGTGTGTGTGTATTAGTGTGTATTAGAATATGTGTGTGTGTATTAGTGTGTATTAGTATACGTGTGTGTGTATTAGTGTGTATTAGTATATGTGTGTGTGTATTAGTATATGTGTGTGTGTATTAGTGTGTATTAGTATATATGTGTGTGTATTAGTGTGTATTAGTATATGTGTGTGTGTATTAGTGTGTATTAGAATATGTGTGTGTGTATTAGTGTGTATTAGTATACGTGTGTGTGTATTAGTGTGTATTAGTATACGTGTGTGTATTAGTGTGTATTAGTATACGTGTGTGTGTATGTGTATTAGTGTGTATTAGTATATATGTGTGTGTGTATTAGTATACGTGTGTGTGTATTAGTGTGTATTAGTATACGTGTGTGTGTATTAGTATACGTGTGTGTGTATTAGTGTGTATTAGTATACGTGTGTGTGTATTAGTGTGTATTAGTATACGTGTGTGTGTATTAGTATACGTGTGTGTGTATTAGTGTGTATTAGTATACGTGTGTGTGTATACACACTGCCGGCCACAGAGGGGGATCGAGAGCTCCTCTCAGGATCTTCATGCTGCTCTGCTCAGTTTTTCAAGATGTCGTCGCTGGAACAGAGGCTGTCGCGAATCGAGGAGAAACTAAAGCAGGAGAATGAAGAAGCTCGCCGGAGAATCGACCTCAACATCGACATGAGCCCGCAGAGATCCCGTCCGAGGCCGAGTGAGTGTCCGAGGGGAGAACTGGGGAGAACCGGGGTGGTCCGTAACGATCAGAACAGCCGGAGAGGCGGAGGGTAGCAGTGGGGGTGTTACTAGCTACATGCTAACAGGCTAGCTACATAAACAAACACCGACTCAGCTTGGTCGGTAGATCTCACCGTCAAATTACCTTATTATGAAGCGGGGCTGTTTATATGGTTAGTAAAGCACATAATGAAAAGTACAAACCACTGTCATGAAATATCTCGCTGCCAGTCACGTCCCGTCAGAAGCTCTGATCCCGTCCTGTCAAACCTGCTGTGCTAACACGCTACATGCTAACGACGCTAGCTGAGTGATAGTCGGTGGCAGGCCCAGCCTCCAGTCTGCAAAATGTGATGTCGTTATTCAGTCTTTTCATTAAATATTAAACAGGTGCCATCTATCGACACGTATCTGTCGTTTAATGTAATGTGTTAATAATGTGTTATGTGTTATTACTGACTGTTTTTTGAGGCTAGTTTTTAAAGCTAATTCAAATGAAGGCTAACGTTCGACAGCCGTTAGCAGCCGTTAGTTGTTTGATTTAAACAGAAGAAACGTTACAAAGATAATAATAATAATATTCATAATTATATTCTAATTAGTTATTAATATAGTTATTACATTATTAGTAATTATATTATAAATAGTTATTAATATAGTTGTATTATTAATAATTATATTATATAATAATAATAATAACCAAAATGGACTGTACAGAATTCTGGCGTTACAGTAAATTATAACTGTTGCTGCAAACATTCAGAAACTTACTTTACTTCTTATTTACTGGTACTTTTTTCTCTCTCTGATTACATTGACTGTCTGTAAGACTGTGAATGAGTGACAGTTTTTTCCAGTGATAAACTTACTGATGGAAAGACCAAAGCCAGGTTATAAATTGAGAATATAAACCTGGATATTAATAATCCCTCTGGGGTATAGACTTTCAATTGTTGCACCAATAATTCTTCAGTCTGCAGCTATCCTGATTAAGTTTATTGGGTAAGGGTCATGCTATGTTGAAGTGCTGGCTGCAATGCAGCAGCCAGTATGTCCTCCTTCTAACTTTAGATTCTGCTCCTGAATGCTCTGGATTTGTTTGGACCAGAGCAGGTAGGCGTTTAAGCCACCCCCCCCACACAGCCGTTTTGGACACCCCTCGGTTTGTCAGATATGAGAGCAGTTATCAGGCCAACAGGTGTTGCAGCGATGGAAGCGGGCAAGAGAAGTGGTTCAGATAGAAGTGATTGTACCCGACCTAAAAAGCCTCTGCATGTTTCTAATAAGCTCCACGAGCAGAAACGTGCTCAAACTAGGATCAATATTGGAGATGCTTTTGAAAAATGGAGAGAGGTTAGAACACAGAAAGGTTTACAGACCCATGCAGAGCTGGATAAACACTGAAGCTTCAGAGTCCACCACATGGTGACCTGAGTGAGCATCCACTCTAGAGAGGAGGGGGGGAGACAGCTCTCTAATGTTTTCAATTTGGACTGCAGTACTTATTTTAAACACTAGGGGTCAGAGTTATATTGGAAGAGGGGTACAGCGTTATGTGCACAGAGATCGTAGCGTTGTAATAACTAAAGTCAGCTGTAGGACATCACTGAGCCAAAAATAAAGAAACAATATAAATTTGTCATGCTTCTCCAAATGTTGTCGTTACAGTGGACACAATTAGGCCACTTAGACGAGGAACTTAAGAAGCACACGATTACTAATTGCCGAATATTTACCACAACTGGAGAAATCTCCAAGCCTGAAAGTCAGTGTGTACTTGTCAGCCGTGTGTGTGTGTGTGTGTGTGTGTGTGTGTGTGTGCACATGTGTGACTGTCTCATTAGAACATTGAAGTAATGAGCGTGTGTGTGTATATTTTCTTTCCTCTGTCTAGTCATCGTGATCCAGCTCAGTCCTGCTCCAGCCCCTTCCCAGCGCGCAGGTATCATTCAATCCATCGCTCTCTCTGCCACTGCACCTCTCTTCCTCCCCCCCCAAACCAACTCCATCCTCCCCCATCCACCTTCCACTCATAACACCTTCAAACCTATCAGAGAAAAACACAGGCAGTTTCATAAACAGATTTCTCTGTATTACAATACTTAAATTATCGTAACTACTAAATTACTTCAATTTCCAATACCTGATGGTGTTTCCCGATTTTCCACTGGGGGTATTTAAGTATTTCTGATTGTGAAGTCTAAAACGGACAAAGTTGGATAAATTTAACAGGTTTAGTTTAGAAACTTAAGCTTTAACATGCCAGCATTGAAACATTGTATTTTCTTTCATTTCACGTTTTTTCCACCTCACTTTTTAGTCTTCTCCTTCAAGTGCCTGATAAGTTTACGACTAAGTAAAAATCACAAAAAGCGCAAAAGATTCATCCCTCACCAGTCCTGATATTTAAGATTATTTACACCTTTCAAATCGTATCATCTCTGCCTCTTTCCACCCCTCCTCTCTCTCTCTCTCTCTCTCTCTCTCTCTCTCTCTCTCTCTCTCTCTCTCTCTCTCTCTCTCTCTCTCTCTCTCTCTCTCTCTCTCTGTATGTGTCTGTGCCAGTGGCAGGGCAGTGTCGGTGTGCGTGCGTGTGTGGACGTGTGTCCGACGATTAACCTTTGTTTTTTGCTGGAGGCAGAGAATCACGGTGCATGTGGCTTTTCTGCACGACACAATGTTTTTGGGTTGTGTTTTTGTTTGACACGGTCTCTAATCCAGCATCCCCACTGGTCCGTCTGCAGGAGTGTGGCTCTGTACTCTCTCTCTCTCTCTCTCTCTCTCTCTCTCTCTCTCTCTCTTTTCTTTGTGTGCTGACTGAAGACTTGCCTTCCTGTCCGAGTCTGACTGACTGACTGTCTGACTTCCAGCTTCGTCTGTGCTCTGCAGTTTTGGCTGAATTTCTGAGTCTCTCTCTCATCCGACTGTTTGATGTCGTTTGCCTGTTATTCATCTTCTGGCATCCCTCTCCTCCTCCTCCTCCTCCTCCTCCTCCTTCCTTTTGCAGCAGCGTTGTGTGAGCAGGAGGTGTTGCAGCAGCGCCTCATGAGTGTTTGTGTGTCTCCCCTTCTCCTTTGCTCTGTCTGCCCGTCTGTCCATCTGGAGCCAGCTGAAATTTGGAGATTCAATCTGTGCCAAACACTGCCTGGGCCTCTCCTTCCTCTCCGTACTAACTCCTCTTTCTCCTCCATTAACCGACTCTCCCCTTACAGGCTGATCCATCTACAGGTGACTCATGGACACAATCACCTGCCGTCGCTCACAGCAGAGCAGCCAGCCTGCTGCAACAAAAACATTGATGATAGTTATTACAGCTTCTCGGCTCTCAAAATGTTTTGGGATCTGGTTTTGAACTTTTCCAAACATTTCTGATGTGAAGACATTTCCACTCTTAGAAAGTCTCTGGAGCTGCTGACTTTTTGTCTTCGGTTGCATGAAACTTTTGTACTAACACAACTTCAACATTTACTTTTAATAACAAGTCAATCTTTCTCACACACACACTCGATATTACAAGGTCAGAGTTGTTTTAACTTGTCCTAGATAACACATGTTTGAAACTCTGTTTGAACGAGACTGTGAGCATGTTGCATCCTCCGTTTGGATTTCAGTGCTGCTCATGTTGTAAACTGGACCTGCGACTGTTCCGTCGGCACGTCAGGGTTATAAAAGATAGAATGGACGTTAATCAGAATGTGTTTATAAAACTGTCAGACTGTGTTCTTTAAAACTTGGGATTGTTTTTGCTCCTGCCGGCCATCAGTTTCATCACTTATGATAAGATTGTACTCACCAAAATAATCTGAGCTCTCCGAAGAAGAAATGATCCGTGTTGACTTCCTGTCTGTTCAGACTCCGTTGATTCACCAATCAGCTATAACACCATGACCACCTGCCTAATTTTGTGTTGGCCAAAAAAAGCCCTGACCTTACGAGAAATGGACTCCAGCAGACCTGTGCAGGTGTGCTGTGGTATCCTTAAAGTACTGTAAAGTCCTGAGGTGGATCAGACTTGTCGTCCAGCACTTCACACAGGGGCCTGATTGGATTCTGATCTGGAGGACTTGGAGGCCGAGTCAACACCTTGAACGGATTGTCGCATTCCCTCCAGGGCTTCTTCCATCGCTCTGTGGTCTAGTTTTCAGGCGGTTTTTAGGCGGTGGACAGAGGTCGGCATGGTTACCTCTTCTGTTGGATCAGACCACACAGACCAGCCTTTGCTCCCCACATGGCATTACTTGGTTTGGTTTAGACCCTGTCCCCGGTTTACTGGCTTTCCTTCCTTTTGGTGACGGACCACTGCAGACTGGGAAACAGCCAGTTTAATATTTGCTTTGACTCATGTCATCTAGCTGTCACAGTTTGGCCCGTGTCAAAGTCGCACACATCCTTACCCTCGCCCATTTTTCCTGCTTCCAACTCTGAGGACTAAAAAAAGTTCACGTGCTGCCTAACACTTCCCACCTGATGAAAGGTGATATTCACTTCACCTGTGAGTGGTCCTGATGTTATGGCTGATCGATGCATGTTGCCAGTTCATGACGGGATATTTACACCTCTGTTACAACTCGTCTGCAATGTATGACACATCAAGGTGGAATGGTGGAGCAAAGTCATTGCCGAGCCGTCATCTGAGGTGACGAGGTGTAACAAGGGGGAGACGGTGGCAGTGTGTAACGTCAGAGCCGGCAAGAACTCTCCTTGTTCTTCTGCCACGCCTTCCCACGATGTGAGAGCACACACTGGGACACCAAAGTGCGGCGCTATGGATGCAACCTTTAAGTAGAAAGTCGTAATGATGCCGGCTTTTGTTGCAACGCTACATGGCTAGAGTCATTTCCTAAACAGTGAGGGATTACCTTCCTGTGACGCGTCTCTTTTGGCGAGTACATGCTATCATTACTGATGAAACAAATGGCTGTGCTAAACTAATCATAGTTATTCTTTAAAGAATGAGCTGTGGTCTAACTCCGAGCTGTCTCTCTCTCTGGTGTTGCATTTTCACTCTGAGATAACTGTCCTGTTTGTTTTTAACGTTAGATCAGAACATCAGTGAATCAAAACAAGGGCTGTAACAAAAAAGTCAAAGAAGAGTGAAGACGTCAGACAAAGCTGATAAACATGGTCACTCTCTCATTTGGTGTACAGCAGTTTTTAAATTAGTTAGTCAGTGAATTCATGAATAAACATGGCTCCCTGCTGGCATGCTGGCCTCTGCTGTGAATAGTTTACTATCCTCCGGTCTGTCCTTTTGTGTCTAACATGTCATGTGTCTCCACCACAGCGCTCCAGCTGCCCCTGGCCAACGATGGAGGCAGCCGCTCGTCGTCTTCAGAGAGCTCGCCTCAGCACCATCCCTACCCCAGCCGCCCGCGACACATGCTCACCCTGCCCACGCCGCCGTACGGCCTGCAGAAGAGCCTAGAGAAGTAAGTGGACACGTGCTGAGGAACATCTGAGTCCATATGAGTCTGGTTTGAAAATGAATACAGAACAGGATAAACACATACCTGATAAAACATGAAGACAGCGCAGTAACACAGACAAAGTGGAGTGAGCAGGATGAAGGGTCATTTCAAGAAGAGGAGGTTATTTTTGGTCATCATGGATGCCTATGCAGAGAGTGTGGGCAGAACATGCGTAAAAGAACAAACACACAGCACCCGTCAGTGAGTCAGGAATCTCTCTCAAACATCGTCCTGACAGCATTTTCCCCTCCCTCACATTTTGGGTTTTTTTTTATTTTCTCCCTGCAGTGCAGAGATCGACCAGAAACTGCAGGAGATCATGAAGCAGACGGGTTACCTGAAGATCGACGGTCAGGTAGGATGTGCTTTTAGACGTTAGGTGAGACTATGCCAGCCAACTTCACACTGAGAGGGACATGTGTGAGTAAGTAAAGTTTCAGGGGCTACTAGAAGACATTTTAAGGATCCTGATTCTGAATTTCTTATTTTCCTGTTTTAATAGATTGTTTGTGTTTGTAAAAAAAAAAATCTTTATTTTTCTTTTTTACTTTTGTTCTTCTCAATCTTCAAAGACAAAACATGTAGTATTTCACGTTGGTTGTTAAAGCAGCGAGGCCGGTAAGGTGAGAAACTTTTATTAAACCAGCAAACACCCGACCTGCTTAGGTGTCCTTGAGCAGAGAATCTCTGTCATTAAAAACATCAGAACGCCCTCACATCTTTCTGTTGACCGCGATAAGATGAAGGCGACTGAAATCTGCCTTCAGTCTATTTATGTCTTCCCTCCTCCTCCAGCCTTCTGGTCCAGTATCACAGTCAGTACCAGTCCGGGTCTGAAGATGCTTCAAAGAATGAATTTGAGTCATTGCTGCTCTTCAGATTGTCTTCATTTCCTCTCGTTAGCCCAGAGGGGAAGCTCACTGACGTCACACATGCACTCCCAGCGTCATCACTGATTTGATTTAAACTAAGCAGGATCATAATAAGTCTCCCTGCTGTGTGCTGCTGTTTTCAGACCGTGGAGCAGCTTAAATACGTATCTAGACATTTGTCAGTAAATTACCCAGAGGCCCCACGATGCTCTGAAGTTTCATTTTGTCAAAGTATTTACATTTTGTCCAGGAGGAATTTCTCAAACTTCTGTTCTGTGTGTTTGTGTTGGTCCACAGCGGTATCCAGCAGAGGTGACCGACCTGATCAGTGAGGGCGAGATCGGCAGTGGAACGTGTGGACAGGTTTTCAAAGTGCGGTTCAAGAAGACCGGCCATGTCATCGCTGTCAAAGTAAGAGCCTCCAGCAACACAACACATTCATCCATATCTTTTTAATGTGCCCCCATTTTGTTTGTTTGTTTTATTTGGATCCCCATTAGCTTCAGCATATCGAGAAGCTATTCGTCCTGGGGTCTGCAGTTTCTATTGTGACAATACATTTTACAAATTCATATTATAGATTATTCTTTTCACACTACACAAACATTTCACAACATTTCTTCAGTAACTAACAATTGACATAAATGAACAAAAAACCCAAAGAAACAAACAAACACAAATTAAATTATTTTTATCCTTTTTTCCTTTTAATGCACAAATTTCCCCCACAGGGGATCAATAAAGTTTATCTTTATCTTTATCTTCTCCCTAGTTTCAATGTAAGACGATCAAATGATCTAGTTCTCCACTCCTCAAATGTGTTGTTTATTGAGTCCTTTTCAAAATAAATGATGCTGATCTGCTCGTGTTTGTGGAGAGAGTGTAAAATACAAAACTTTGAAAGCTGTTTTATTAATACAGAAACAAAAAATGAACTCCTGAGCGCCATAACTGAGTCTTCTTTTTTTAAATTTCTAGTCTGCAGACAGCGCTGGTGCACAAATCTTCATCTTTTTTTTACTGCCTGATAGTCTGGTGGTTCTGTTGCACGCCCCATGTATGGAGGCTGTGTTCCTCGTCACATCTGCTATGGGTTCAAACCCGACCTCAGGAAACACTAAGCGCTTTAAAGCAATCAGAAACATTGTCTTTATTCTTTGTTTCTCTGTTTTTTTAAATTAACGACGCTCTACCTTGTCACTCCTGCTGTAAAGCAAATTGCCCATCTCTTTTTATTCGCAGTAGCTTTTTGTTAAAAACAGAACTGTAGATCTGTAGTTTCTTTGGTTCCTTTAACTGCTATCGAATGTAAACAAACACAGATTGTATGGTTTTAAAGCAGGCGTTATTAAAAGTTATCAAAGTAACAAACGTTTTGAAATTGTACTCAGAAGAGGTTTGGCGCAGACACGTTGCAGAGATGATCTTAAATGACTCCAGTCTCCTTAACTTGCATCGAGTTAAAACCTCTCAGAGAAACAATTTGTAACATGTGGATCTATTTTAAAAACATGTTAACAAGTCTGAACGATAAACACAAGAAGGAAACATCCATTTACATCCTTTTTAAATCCAGCAGGAGCTTAAACCTCCGCTCGGTTGAGCTCACTGATTTCTGCTGTGCTTTTGATTGTGTCTTATTTACCAACACAGTGACACTAATGACCCATATAACCACCCTCCTGTTTAAGAGAAGACTTAATTATGGGCTGTTAAAGAATTAGGAAGTCAATGAGCTCACCAGAGGAGTCTGTGGTTTCCTACATGTTTCTAAACACACCATCCTATCAAACTGCATCTTTAAAACGTTCAATCCCTTTCTCTAATCTTAAGATACTTTTTTGTTTGTGTGTCACCAGCAAATGCGTCGTACAGGAAACAAGGACGAGAACAAGCGGATTCTCATGGACCTGGATGTGGTGCTGAAGAGTCACGACTGCCCGTACATCATCCAGTGCTACGGGGCCATAGTTACTAACGTGAGTGTCCCTTTAAGACGTTACAGTGTAGTAAGTCTGAGTGGTCTGATGTGAGAACACAGCAGGATACTCTCAGGAGAATTCACCTCAAGCCAATTCGAGGGGGGAGAGGGACGTTTATATACTGTGGCGCTTTGTATTTGAGTAGATTTCTTTTGGTTGCCCCTGAATGAAGTTGATAAAAGGACAATGTGTGTGTGCGTGTGTGTGTGTGTGTGATTTCGTACAGACGGATGTATTTATCGCCATGGAGCTGATGGGAACGTGTGCTGAGAAGCTGAAGAAAAGAATCCAGGGCCCCATCCCAGAGCGAATCCTTGGAAAGATGACAGTAGCAGTAAGTGGAAGGACACACACACACACACACACACACACACACACACACACACACACACACACACACACACACACACACACACACACACACACACACACACACACACACACACACACACACACACACACACACAGCTTGCTTGTGTGTCACATTCTTCACTTGCTTGTGTCTTGATGCAGATCGTGAAGGCGTTGCTGTACCTGAAAGAGAAACACGGTGTCATCCATCGGGACGTCAAGCCCTCCAACATCCTCCTGGACGATAAAGGTCAGATCAAACTCTGCGACTTCGGCATCAGCGGACGCCTCGTCGACTCCAAGGCCAAGACCCGCAGCGCCGGCTGTGCAGCCTACATGGCGGTGAGGGAGACCCCACGCAATCTGCCCTCACAACACCACAAACATCTTCTCTGGTTGATCTAGTCCCGGCCGATATGACTAAAAATGTTGTTCAAAATGTTGAAGTTTAAAAGCTGATTTTTGCTCCAGAGTGAAATTTAAAGAAACCAGATGTTGAATTATGGTTCAATTATTATTTATTGTGAGAACATGATAAACTCTACATGAACAGAGGAACATGTCAGCATCATGAGCTCAGTGCACGGAGCTGGAAAGTGCTGATATACTGGCTTGCTGAGGGTCCACTAAGACTCGTCTGGGACGTTAAAACATTTCTTTCCTTCGCTGTGTTCTATCAGGTCGCATTGTTTCAAGTGTTTGTTTGTGTTCTTGCAGCCGGAGAGAATAGACCCTCCAGACCCCACCAAACCTGACTACGACATCAGAGCAGACGTGTGGAGCCTCGGCATCTCTCTGGTAACATTTCATTCATTCTTTCAGAATCACTCACAAAGCACACACGGTCTCAGAGTCAGACAAGGATAGATGTAGAATCATCCTTTAATGTACAGCTGTCAATAAACACGAGTGCTACAGAAATACAGAACCTCAGCAGCTACATTTCAAAATAAAAGTCTGTGTTTCTTCCTCATTTAACGAGGGAACATGTTGCAAATAGTCTGATAGTTTGAGCATAAAAGTGAAGCTACTGACAAAACTTACAGTCAGATTTATAGTCTCTTAAGTTTCTCATTATTTAAAAGTAGTGAAATCTTTGTGGTTGACGGTTTTTGTCCTTCAGGTGGAGCTGGCCACGGGACAGTTTCCCTACAAGAACTGCAAGACAGACTTTGAGGTTCTGACCAAAGTGCTGCAGGAAGACCCTCCTCTGCTGCCCCTCGGCATGGGCTTCTCCCTCGACTTCCAGTCCTTCGTCAAAGACTGGTGAGTACGAGTCTCGCTCCACAGTCCAGGCAGAAACCTGAGGGTCCCACTTCACCTGGAATAAGACCCAGACCTGGAGGGTGGGGGGCATTGATCCTCCTCTCTGGACTTTTAGGGCGCACTCACCCTAAGTAAAGTTGTCCCACAGCGTGCTTACCCTCAGGCTGGTTGGCTGCCAGTGACATCACATTTAGTACCTGAACGTGTGAGCTACGCTAGCTTAGAGTACATTTTATTTAAGTTTTACAATACAACAACATTATATACATTTATTTATACGGTTACCGTGGTTACATGCAGCTTCACATTGTGCTCTTGTTCTCCCACAGCCTCACAAAGGATCACAGAAAACGGCCAAAATACCACACGCTGCTGGTAAGACACCGTTTTAAACGACTAACATAAATGTTGTTGGAGTTCAAATATCCTAATGACCAAATGTAACTAAACGTCCCCCCCCCCCCTTCGTCCAGGAGCACAGTTTCATCCGTCGTTACGAGGTGCTGGAGGTGGACGTGGCCGGTTGGTTCCAGACGGTGATGGATCGCACCGAGTCGCCTCGCAGCAGCCAGTGTTACAGCCATCAGCACCAGCTCCACTCGCTCTTCAGTAGGTAGCCTAGCTCAGCCCGACGCTAGCTTAGCCAGACGCTAGACTAGCCTAGCTTGTGGCTTTGCTGAAACCCCAGACTCCAGTCTGTCCTAGTCTAGCCCAGCGTTAGCAGCTAAGCCTAGCGTTAGCGTTAAAGAGCCCGCCTGTCCATCTGTCCACCGGAGAACCCGAAGAGCCCACAGAGGAGGGGGAGGAGTCTGGACGGGCGGATGGAGTGATTGACGGAGAGACGGACTGATGGATGTTTTTTGTCTTTGTGTTGAATCTGGACAGACAGACACGGGATGGACGGGGTAGTGAAGGGTGCACTCTGTAGCTAGCTTCATTCTCTACACGCGACTCGCCTCGCTGTGTGTGTGTGTGTGTGTGTGTGTATATATGTGTGTGTGTGTTTCTACATTTCATCCACATCCGTTAGTCTTTCACCTACACGTCCGTCTCCAGCATTGATCCACGCCGTTGGATCAGTCGACAGAGTAGTCACTACACACTGGAACGAAGCGTCTGCTACGTTTAGTAAAAACAGGAAGCTCTTGTACATAAAAGCCGTGGAGGAGGACACGACACTGTCTGGGTGCAATTATGACTCTTCAGGTGTTTCTACTATCACACACTCTCAGGCTGTATGTGTGTGTGTGATCCTGAGCGAGTGTGTGTGTGTGTGTGGTACACAGTCGCTGGTTGTTAGTGAGATAATAATAATAAATCGCTAACACACACACACACACACACACACACAGAATATTAAAGCTCCTGTGAGGAAGTTATAAAAGAGACTGAAATAAATGAAAATCAAAGGAGGCTTTGATCGACAACTTAGATGAACGGCTGTAACCGCTGCCACTTGTTTGGTGCGAGGCAAGACGATTTACAGCACGCTGAAAAAAAAACAGCCTTTTTATGACATTTTCCCCAGTTAACATCAACAAGGACTGATTCACTGACTGCTCAATGAAAGCTGCAGGATTTTTATTTACCAGAAAACACAACCTACACATGTACAGGACATGATCGCTGACAACACATATGTACCCCTTTTGTCCACCGGGGGGCGCCAAACTGAAAGATCCTCACAGGAGCTTGAATCTGTTAAACATGTAATAAATCATAACCCACATTAACTTATATATGATATTATAAACACACATTAATGTATGTAGAAGCTGCATATTCAGAGAAAAAAAAACACAATGAAAAATAATCCCAAAAAAATTAGCATCGTTGCATCTAGCTCTGTAGAGTTATCGTCCATGTTTTTGTTTTTATTCAGAGGGACTAAGATGAACTAAAAGAGTGATTAGAGAGAAGGAGGGCGACTCGTCCTAGAAGTTTGCGGCGGAAAAGACGAGAATGTAGAAGAAGAGTGAGGTGTGATAACCGTTGATGGTGTGAAAACCAGAGAAAGGTCAAAGGTCAAGAGGAGAGCAGGTGGAGATTTTATTGAGAAGGAAAGGAGGAGAAGTTGATCGTGTACAGAGAGTATAAACGCTGGTAGATCTTATTTCCTGTGGAGCACGTCTTTACTCCCCCCCCTCTGTCCGTCTACCTCTTCCTCTCCGTCCGTCTTCTTCTGCTGTTCTGTGTTTACGTAGCGCTCCACAGCGTTTCCAGACCAAAGGCTGCGTGTAGGTTGATGTTAGAGGTGAAGGAGGCCGAGAGGTTTAGTGCTGCTTAGAAATGATGATGATGAAGCATGTTGTGGTGTTTTTAGGAGCTGCAGCAGGGGTCTCAAATGAAAAACTCAGGGGTCTGATCCGACTCACATCCATTACACATCCTTTCCAAAATATCTCATACTTTCATTATTGATTCTACTTGTGAACATTTCCTCACCTGGTTGTGATTGCATTTATATTCTGTGCAAAAGCAAAAAGTGACCGATCTTTAGAAACTTTAAAAATGTCTACTTCAAATTTAAAGTGAAAAAGAAACTCCCCAAATCTTTGCTATCAAGCGCTCTGATGATTAACTCACTTCTTGTAACGATACCTACTGACCATGAGTCAGCACATTATATATTCAGTCGAGTCAACCCGACAACAAAACGTCTCTTTAGAAACACAAAAACGTTTAGTCTCTCCTGATACAGCTGGAGCACAGGTCACCTTTAGAGACATTGATCTGCTGATTTCAGACAGAATCAAGTCTGACTTTAGCTTCTTTCCACCCGCCGTGTGGAGCAGGCTTAAACACAAGAGAGAAGTGAGTTCAGGTAGCAGCATCCCTACAAGGAAGGGGGGCCCCTGGTAAGGTGACTTTGAGACCCCTGAAGTAGAAGATCTTTGTGTCTGCTGGGTATGTAGAGATGTGTTTAATGAGCGCAGGTCTTCAGAGACTGACTGACTCCAGTCCTCCTGCCTCCCCACAGCCAAAGCCTGCCTGTAGTGCAGACTCCAGTCCCATCACGCACAGAAACCAAATCACTGCTAGACACAGAGAAGAAGTGAGGACTGCAGAGAGAGAGAGGAAACTGTTAAGTGTCAGAGGAAGAGAGAGAGATTCATGAATGTTGTTGAGACGGAGGAAAGGATGAGAGGAGATGAAATGTTAAGAGAGACGAGGAGCGAGGGAGGAAGAGAGGGAGTGTTCAGAAAGTGTGAGCGGAAGTTAAAAGAGAAGTTTAAAGAGAGCGGAGAAGTGGAAGTGAAATGTGCCAGGAAGCAAACAGGAGGAGCGCTGAGCTCTGAGAATAGCTGGGTTCTGTAAAAAGCTTTCATGGTGTCTCACCGATCTGCCAATTATGACTTTAGCGAGTTAGCATATTAGCGAGTTAGCGTGTGGTGTTTATGATGTGTACTGTTTTGTTCAAACAATGTTATTTATTTACATTGCTACTGCTGCTACTTTTTTGATCGCTTTAGACGCTGCTGTCTCTTCTTTTCCCCAAAGGACAAATACTTTACTCTTTTTTTTTTTTCTTTCTTTAAAAAGCCAAATAAGTCAAATAATGCAAAGTCAACACCAAATACAGAAGAGCAAGTCTGACGAGGGCAGGGAGAGCAAGTGAGAGGTGGAGCCATAGATTAGAAGTACTAACACACAAAATCTATAGAAGTCACCTCAGCTCCACGTGTACGTCATCATTTCAGCGCTGCACGCCGTAGAGGAGATTAGAGGGGCAGTCTGTCCGTCCAGATTCTGTTGATCACGTCCATCTTTTACTCCGTCCACCCTCCATCCGTCCACAGGGCGCCTGCAAGCTGGACAACCTCCACACTTCACACCAAAGGCGTCTACGACTCAGCGGAAACACGAGCGAGCGTTGTTGTTATTGTTATTGACATTATCTTTATAGCTGGTGTGTATTAGAGCAGCGTCCTGTGTGTGTGTGTGTGTGTGTGTGTGTGTGTCATACTATGCAGAGGGACACACTACAAAAACCAGCCAGCCCCTCGTCCCGCTCGCCCTGAGCCTGTAGCAGGAAGTGACTCAGTCGTGCTCTCTGGTTTCTGCCCAATGTTGATAAACTGCTGAGCATGAGAGATCCTCGATGACCGGCCTCACACACCTCGTTCTCCTCTCACTCCGTTAACTCGTATATTAATCCAGCTTTCAGTGTTGTCGTGTGTGAACTCATCAAGTTAAACGATCATTTAGCCAAGAAGCTTTCAAAGTAAAGGTCAAGCTGATTCATTCCCCTAAAATAGTAAACTTAGCGACGTCTCTCTTCTGCCACAAAGATTTTAAACAGCTCCTATCAGATTAAAGAACCGCTCTAGATTGTCATAAATCAGCGTCTCTATATGCGTATATTCTCTACAGGTAACATTCATTCTGCTTAAAGAGGAACTGATTTAGTGATTACCTGATCAGCCATCGAACAAACACGGAGCTGCTTGAACTTTTGTTTTTCACAGTCTAAAAAAATACTGTATCTTTTTTGTTTTATTCTCTGCAGACCTTCTGTACATGAGAATTTATTTTGAAGCTAGGAGAAATGTTGTGTTGAGTCAAACACAAACCTTTAAAGAGTAGAACCAGAGAAAATCATCCTCTTCTTTATTATTCAGAAGTGTAAATATATATTTTCCTGATAGAGTAAACTGAATTTAATGTGTATAAACAGTTCGCTCTTCTTTTTTTAAAGCAGTTAAAATCATGGATTCAGTCAGCTAGAACATATTGATGAGCAGCTTTAATAATCAAGAGTCAACATTAGTATTCATCACACGCTCATACAGAGGAGCAGTGAACTGTAACGACTGTTACTGTCATAAAATACTCAAACTCTAAAATACAGATAGAGAATATAATCCTTATAGTGTAGTACAAGTCTGTAAGGAGATTTTATATTTTGTCCACAAGGGGGCGCCAAAGTCAACACAGACTGAGAGTTACTCAGGAAGTTTATATTAAAGTAGTAACTGTTACTCTAAATGATGACATCATACGTACGGGATATAAAAATATTTGTGTCTGTTTTTTGTAAATATTTCTGAAAGATGGCGTCGTGTTTCCGGTGATCGGGGGTCGTACACCCTGCGGTTCAGTGCGCCCTGCAGTGTACGGTAATGAATAGAGGACCAGACTGGAGAAGCTCATGTCACTTCATGGTACAGGCTCCGCCCCCATCCCAGATGTATGTGAGCGTGCGTTGGCACACAGCTCCGTTAGCTCAGATATCACCTTCACCTGATTCATCCTCCAGAATCCATCAGGTGTGCTGCACGACAACCGCAGCCTGAGGTGCTCTAGATGGTGTGGTTAAACACACGCACGCCACACTCTCACCACGACGTCCTGTGTTCAAACTCTCTGTGTGGATCTGTTCTCCTGCTGTCCAGGTTCTCTCTTAATAAGCTTGTGTGTAGTGTACACACACACACACACACACACACACACACACACACACACACACACACACACACACACATCTGCTCGGCCGTTCTGATTATTCCATCCAAAAAAAACACAACCTGATTTCAGAGACTCTGGCACGCTACACCTCTGAACGCCATCAGGTCTGACCAGGTGTGAAACCTGCTACAAACGACTGTCAGAAACGTGTGTGTGTGTACACACACACACACACACACACACACACACACACACACACACACACCCCTGATGTATAAACCCATTCTGCACAGTAAGGTTGTCTACACTGTGGATACTTTGATACTTTTGGACGCCATGTCTTTTAAAAACGTCTCATATTTTCAGATTTGACGTCATCGCCAAGTTCTTAACCTTTTTTAAAAAAAAAAAAACATGTCAGATCTTCAGTCGTGTTTTGAACGGCGAGCTGCAGCGAGAGGAACATCGAGCGGCGTCTAAATCGTACGAATGCTGCATATGTGTTTGTGCGATTTACACGAGTTCACTTGCAGGTTTCGAGGATAAAAACAAGAAATTTAACAAATCATTGGGTGCTGTTGCCGTGGTAACATCAGGTGCCCAGAAGTGTATCAAAGTTTAAAAATCCAACATGGTGACAGCCGTGCTGCACAGCCATGCTTGCTCCGCCGTTAGTGGCTTTATGTGTATATTAGCTCGTCAGGTGTATAAAAAAACAGCGTGCAGCGTGTACCTGCGCTGTGCCTCGACACCGAGCGGGGAGTGTGTGTGTGTGTGTGTGTGTGTGTGTGTGCGTGCGTGCACGTGTGTGTGTGTACGATGTAAACCCATCTGTAAGTAAACCAAATATCATTTTCACTATGCAGTCATTCAAAGCATGTCAGCTTGCTTGGGGTGGGAAAACGCCTCGTGTACATACACAGATTTATCGTTGGCGACAGCGCGCGTTCCCTCCTCCCGGCGGTGAGACTCTGACGTCACCTCGCCGCCTTCTGCTACTTCACAGAGAGAGAGAGAGAGAGAGAGAGAGAGAGAGGACGGAGCAAGAGATGTGTTTTGAATGAGCTGACAAATATTTAAGGATTGTATTTGGGTCGGGGAGGGGGGGGGGGGTGAGGGTTAGACTGGGATTTGTAGTTTTTGGGGGAGATACAGATCAATGCTGTAAAGTATATCAGCTGCATGTTATCGTCACGGTTACCCGCCATTGTTTTTGTGGGTTTTTTTTAGTTTTTATTCTTCCATGACGTCGGTCGGTCGGTTCGGGCGGGGATGGATGCACAAAACTTTATCCTTATTTATGATTTCTACACTTGTAGTCGTACGTTTGTGTTCTTAGGAGAAGACTCAATTCTTTTTCTGCCTTTATTATTATTTTTGTTTTGTTGTTTTTCACTTTGGACCGCGAGCTAAACGAGGAGGAGTGCGAGGCGGAGCTGTGTCTTTATCAGCGGACAGTGTTTGTTAGAGAGAAGAAGAAAAGTCCTGTTTCCCCCTCGTGTGTGTTTTTCAGTCAGCTGAGCGGCGTGCGTGATGTTTATTTTGTGTACCAAAAGTCTTTATTGATGGTGATTATTATTACTAGCTTTTATTTTGTTGTTTTTATTACTATGATTATTATTATTATTATTATTATTATTATTCTTCAGGGCAAAGTTGACACCAAATTGAACAAAGAAAATAAACGTGTGGCATTCGGAGAGCGCGCCGAGAGCTGGATGCAGGTTTAGTCTCAACCTGGCGAGGAGGAGCGCTCGCCATCCTCTCTCCAGCCGGTTTGCGTCGCCACGTTAAGATCACCTCCGAGCTGAACTTGTAAAAGTATTTTTTTATGATTTTTATCTTTATTTTAATGTTTTCCTTTCGATCGATCTCTCGTTGGGTCGCAGATTGTGTGCTGTTATTTAACTCCTCCCCCCCGCCTCACAAACCCCGCCCACTTTTTATTTGACTTCATGATTACTATCGCTCTGGTTTGTCTGATGCTGTAGTCGAGAGCTGATTGGTCGGACGGCAGAGCGATGTTTTTGTTCTGAGGCTGTCGTGACGGATGTTGCACTTGTGTTGGGTTTTTGTGTGTTTTTGTTTTTGTGTCGCCGGTTGTCGTGCGGCGAGGAGAATATCGAGTGTTTTCCTTTATTTTCTTTAGTCACAGCAGATATTTAATCAATCGTAGATCTGTGACGCAGAGCAAGGAAATGATTCTACAGTGTATTTTTCTCACTGGTATTTATTTATTGGTCATTTGTACGTTTTTGTTTTTTTGTTTTATTTTGAAATGTATTTTATTTTGAAAGAGGGCAAACAGGACGTAGGAGGAGGAGTCGTTTCTCATCAGCATTTGATCAGTGTAACACAAAGTGTCATATTAATGTAACCGGTTCAAAATAGAACATTTACATCACAGGACGGCGAGCTGTTTCACGCTTCACTGTGACGTCATGATCGTGGTCATTGTTTACCCTTTGAGACGACGAGCCCCACAAACAAACAGCATGATGTTTTCTGAGCTCGCCTGCTGTGTCTATAACTCACAGCCAAACTCTGAACGCCGGCTTCAGCGCTGGCGACATCCGTTTTTTGTTTTTTTTATTTTGAAGTATTCTCGCAGACTGATTGGCTCATTAGGAATCTGAACTCCCAGTAATGGAGGCGGCGCCGCCCGCCTCTACGTTTCATTTGAGGATTTTAGTTTCAATTTTTTTTTTTTTTTCACTTCTGAGTCTGCACGACTTCGCTCGTGTCGATTCAGGGCAGCAGAGGTCGCTCTGATTTCAGTCGGTTCAAACGCTTCTTGTATGTACGTCACCATGGATACAACGTCTCGATGGTTGTATCAGTCGACTCAGCTTTACTGTTTCTTTGATTTTACATTTTGTTTGTTTGTTTGTTTTTTTTGGCTGTATTTTGTCCCCCTCCCCCCCCTCTCATGAGTCTCATTTCAAACAGAATAAATGCCATTATATTGTGAATACCTCAGGATTTTTTTGGAGAAAAAACAACAACAAAACACCTAAAAATCAAATAAATAAATAAATAAAAACTCATAAAAAGTTGACGTGTCGTTGTGGATTTATTTGATCTTTTGTGTGTAAAATCTAAAACTGTTGGTAACCATGGACAACGCTTCTCCACATCCTGCCACACATCTCTCCGACTGAAACCCTCATCCCCACCTTCATAACTTCCTGGAATGGAGTCTTCCTGTTTGGGGGACCAGCAAACCCCGAGACAGACCAGCACCACGCTCCTGGCCGGGGACGGCACCTGGATTTGTTTCTCCCGGTGTTGAGGGGGACGTCACCAAAATGACAGGGTGCCTTGAATAAGTTCTCTTTTAAGTTCTCTTTTTTTTCAAAATAAAAGCAGACCTACGTGAAGAGGCTTCACCGGGGCTAGACTGATTTGTGATGGGGCTGTGGCCCCCTAGCCCCGGTGAAGCAGCACACACACACACACACACGTCAGGGGGATTTGTGGAAAGATGAACTTGATTATCTTTTGTTATCTCTGATCCCATCATATTCATAATTGTCATACTCAATCATCGTTCATCTTTGTAAACATGCTGCTGGAACAAACCTCCCATTGGGATACTCTTCAGTGTGTAATGGCCGGTTCTGTCCACAGGGTGGTGCAGTTTTCATTCAGTATTTAGAGCTTAAT